ATATGACTGTCGAATATTGAATATGCCTAAACTATAGTTTTGTGTCAGATCCTTTTATCACACCGCGCTGATAAAACTACACTAAATTTAAAAAATAAACTATTTTGCTTGTAGTTTTTTAAAGACTATGGTCGGAACTTTCTGAGCTATTGCACTAAAACCGGTATCCTGGTTTAAATTGTGTTTTTGTTGAGTGCTGAGGTGAAAGGATCTGGACGAACCATGAAAATGTTACTGTATTAGGCATATTTTGCTACTGCTGCATTAAATAAATTCAATCTCAAAACAAAAGAAGAAATAAGATTAGAAGTCAAAAAAATTTTACTAAAGCTTTTTCTAGTATAACAACTACTCGCTCGCTTTACTAGTTTGACATAAAGACTATAAATCAAAGCTTCCTTGTTTGATTAAAAATTTGGTTAATATGTTTTCAAACAAAACAAAATATATAAAGCGAAACTAAAAAAAAACACAATTTAAAGTTTATAAAAAAGTTAGAAATAATTCAATTTTCATGGTTGGGAAAATGTTTATCATAGAGATATCATATAATTTTCTGAATTTATGAACTTTTATAGAATTTGATGACAAGTTTTTTGTTTAGGGATACGGTTTGGAAATTTTGGTCGTTCATGGAAGTTTTAGTCGACCCGGATATCTGGTATAATGTTTCGTGGCCTGTGCTGTTTTGCAGAATCTTTACCACAAGAAGCAGTGTCGGCATTTTGACACACTTTGCTAACATCTGGAAAAAAAGTATTCAGAGTGGAATGTTTTTTGCTATCTCAATTGCAAAATGCCAATAACCTATGTTGCAATTATATGTTAACACTAAAAGGCCAATCATGCCCAAAACAGTTACTTCGATAAGTAAACACGAATAGGTGGTATTGGATGTAACTGGTATTGAAACCTTGCGACAGTTGGTTTCATGAATCTAATATTTGACCTTTATTGTTTTCTGAAACCTGGCAGACCACAAGACACTGAGCTTATTATATTAAATCTATCCAATATTCAAAGCAAATAAACTACAGAATCGATAAAAATGGCAAAACAATGGAAATTTGGGATCTGCAACTGCTTGGCGAACGTTCCCTGGTATGTTATTACTCTGGCGTTTCCATACATGACTGTGTTCGAAGTCGCTAGAAATTTGCGACTGAAATGCCTGGGAATTTTTGGCATAGCTTTTTTCAAAACAATGCTTGTTTTGTTCACTATTACAAATTATATGCCTGCTCTCAAAGACAGCAAGAAAGTCCGCAATTATTTGGATGAAGACGAGATAGTTTTCATCAAACGAGGAATACTAGCAGTCTGTATTCTTTTATTCTTCACGTTTCTCGGAATTATTTTGAAGCTTGGGATTCGTTTGAGGAAACGATTTGACCTTGAAGGAAACCTTTGCAAAGATATATTAGCAAGCTGTTCATGCTGTTTTATGTGCACAATATGTCAGATGCGAAATCAACTGTTTCATGAAGAGCAAGAAATGCTTGTCAGAAACGAAACTTTCATGAGTGAAGTGAGCCAGGAAGTTCAAAACGTTGAGGCTCAGTCCCTCGACTTGTCGACATCTAAAACTCATTATGTCTAATTTCCATGCCCTTTTCAGAGCTTTTGCTAATTGTTCTACCCACAAGGTGTTCAAACTTTTTTAAAAATTTTCTTAACTTCAAAATCAAAACACCACAAACAGACGAGGTTTATTGATATAATATATCCAAAAAATTCTCCCACTTCTCATACTGATTCATAGTAGTGGTATGTGTTGGGACAAAACCGTTTGGGATGGGGGGATGGGTTGATCTCTATAAAATTTTACTAACTAACCCATAGTATTTAATCAACAACACTGAAAATTATTTTTATTGCTGAAACTACTTGTAATTTCAGCACCAGAACAATTTGAAAAAATCATAGACTACAGTTGCTCTCCTTATGGACAAGCTCCAAAACTAACTAGCAAATTACAGTATAGATCTCTTACTAGATCTCTTGAGATAGATCTACTACTAGAAGATATAAGAGTAAGACTAAGATTAGTATTAGACTAAAAAGTTGCACGAATCTATCCGGCCGCAATTAAGATAACGTGACGAACAGACGGTGTACCTTATCTGAAATTACTCTATAAGTAAGCTAACTCTAGCATAAACTCATCAAATCTCGAACAAGACCCTAACTAACTTGAAATTAGCAAATTAGGATTAGAAAAAGACCAGAATTGCAAAAATGCAAAATGTTAGATGGAATAGACAATTTAATTGATATGTATCTACATTTCAATGAATCTACACCAATATTCGAAACAATAGGAGAAATACCAGGTATTGAACAAAAAACGACGGTCCAAAAAACTACCTGATAGTACGACGCAAATCGCAAAATGTATATGCCTTGAGAATCCTCTATGCAGTAAATTTAGATTTTCATTTTTTGACATGAAATTTATTTTGTTTGAAGAAACATTTGACTTCTTCGAAACCTTACTTGGTGCTTTATAGTTTTTTTATATAACGATAATAACGACTGATAAAATGGTACACAAGTCGTTTCTTTCAAACTCTGTGGTACTTTAGATTTGAAATTTTTTGTAAAATTAAATTTTATTGAAAATTAAATACAAAAATTAGTTAGTAGGGAGTTTTAAAGTTAGTTTTATTAATTTTATAAAAAATTTCCTGCTTCTCAAGGAACCATGTTTTTTCATCGCCGCTTCATCATCTAAAAAATAACCAAATTTATTCAAAAACAAACATCATTCAAAACTTCAATTATTGAAATAATTTTAAATCTATAACTTTTCCTCAACTTAAATCTTTCATATAAAAAAAATAAGGAGGCTTTCCTTGCCTTTTGATAATTTAAACTTCCTTTAAAAACAGATCATCTAGGCTCCCCTTGGATCTTTAATTTAACTTAAAATAAAACTTTATTTCACTTTTATCAACTGATCATCGAGGTTTCCCTTGGATCAATCAGAACAGTTTTTTTCTCCCTACCTCATAATTTAAAATGTCTAACGACGTCAAACAACGATTTACTCTCCGACCCTTATCAAAAAAACCCAAGACTAATAGAAACTTTTAGAAAAATTAACCATTATATTTAAGATAAACAGTGATGAACTTCGGTTACTCATCCTTCACTTGAGCCCTTCCTATGACCCAGGATAGAACCCTTAAAACTTTCCTGCGCTCTAAAATAAAATCTAACGGTCTAATCAAAACTGAACAATGTGCTCTGATTTACTATTCTGCAACGCTTGATCAGAAATCAAACCCCTAGGTAAAATTTTGAAAATTTTTCTTACAAAGAAAACATAGTCACGAGAAAGTCAACATCATTCTAACGAAATGATTTACTCTCTCTCCAACCCTGCAACTTTGACAATATATGCCGCAAGTTTAAATAACCAGACAATAACCGTAAGAACTAACAGTTTAAGAAGTGAAAGTTCTAACCTCCGAAAAACGAAAGATATGATAGAGACGAAAGATATGATCTTGTAATTAAACGACATAAGCAAACAATAGGATATATTAGATCAAAAAGACAAACACGGAAAGAGACAATCACAGCAAAACAATAACAAATTGTAATACGAAGATTTTATCAAAACACTTAACGCAGTTTTGGAATCAGATACAACAACAAAACAAGAACTTCAGGGCCTAAAAGATTCGATAGATAAAAACAACCCAATTAACGAAAACAATATTATTCAGACTCCGAATCTATAACACCATCATCGAGAAAAAGGAAACGTAGAATTAACAAAATCATATATTCGTAAATAGGTACGAATATATAATTGAAATCAAATAATAAGACATATTAAAAGTTACACAATAACAGTACTACAAGACAAAAAATGATTCAATACGACAAAAAATTTGCCGATGACCCAATACTTTCCTTTTTCATCCATCCGCAAATTGATACCGTTCAATGACAAGCACAATTTTATAATAACTTAATTGCAAATTTATTCGAAAAAGGAAGTAGTCCATGCACACAGGAATTTCCCGAAAAATGAATTAAAAGACAAATAGATGATCACATTATGAGCGACAGAATATCCACCTATGATTTTTCACCATCACAGCCAAATCAAACACTGCATCAAATATAAACAGATGATACAGATCTAGAATTCTCAAAAGTCTTCGCAGAATACATAAACAATATATAACAGAATTCACAAAGAGCAAATTCAATCTTTACAAAGGATTTTTTTCATATTATTTATAGTTATATATCTATATTGGAATTAAAAGAAACATCAAATGAATCACCACGTCAGACATCTCGACACTCAACTGTAAGACAAGAAATTCATCTTTTCTCAAAATTTCTAGGTACAATTCGTGAAAACCTCACTAGTCATGAAACATCGCAAAATGACATGACTTACGACAAGTCCTATGTTCTTGTATATTATTCTGTTCAAAATTTAGATTTCATTTCAATAACAAGAAAAAACTTTCGACCGCAAATCTTAGACAATGAAACTGTAATAGCCGACCAAACAGATTATGTTTCGGACCTTGAATGGTCTCATCCAATATTCATTAATACAACCACTGACATTTTGAGTGCAGCAATTATCTTTGTTTCTGTACACAAAGATCATGTAAGAGTTACTCCACTTACTATTGATGCAACACCTTTAAAATATAACTCAATGTTCAACAAAAGAACAGGAAATAGTTTCAATTCAACATTTATCAACACAGAAGAAACCCTTCAGGGAACAAAAATTGTATACCACAAAAGATTCAAACCCCATCA